CTCAATTTCTCTGATTACCTTCTTTGTGAAACTGTCATCCTGATCAAGTAACTGGGTTTCTATGTAGACGTGCAATCAAGGAGAATAAGCTCTGTGCAGCTGTGCTTTGAATCATGAGTTTAAATAATTTCATCCCACACCACTACAAAGATATCCTGCAATAAGCTTGTTTCACTTTTATGCAGTATATTTTTGCATCTTAACATTTCAGCTTCCTCCTGCCTGCACTGCAAACCCCAGGACTACCATACATTGTGGCTTCAGTCAGGGTAGTCACACTTAGAAAAAGAGTTATGGAAAAGAGCCAACTCGTTTGACATCAGATTTATCAATGGTGTCTAACTTGCACATGTGTCCGGTTGAATAAAGTGATATACCCTCAGAACCATCCAAAATAAAAGAATAACTATTTGAAGTGTCAGTGGGAAAGGAGTATCCTCCCTGAAATACAGGACTGGAAGCGGATTTAAATTTATTTTACCTCCTCTGGTTTCTTAGATATACTGTTTTTCCTAGAGTGCCATAAATTAGGGGGAACTTTTTTGATCAGTCCACTGCAGTGATGAGCTCCAGCAGGGGTGAGGATGCTAATCCCTGCTCTTGAGTTTTGAAGTGTAACAATGAATTAGGATTTCCTCTCAGTCTGTTTTCCTGTTTAGAAGTTAAGAACAGGGAAAAGGTAAGAATGCTGAATTCTAAATGGGTTTATAGGAAAAAAAAATAAAATTGAGGTCCCTGATCTCAAAAACATAATTCCTGACAACTAAAGTGTGGAGTTATTTTTTGCAGGAAATACGAAAGTGAGACTTTCAATGTCTTTCAATGTCAAAGCTCTTTTAATATCTCTTATTATATGTACGGTATTTAAATAATGAGCATCAAAAGAACTTGCTTAACTGCAAGAAATGTGTGAAGCTAACAGAAACAGTTAATAGGAACATAACAAAACCTTTTTTGTAGCAGGTGCGTTTCACTGAACGGGCAAGATATAGTTGAATTCATCTTGCAGATTAACATTTGTCATCAAGAAGGGGTGAAAGTGACCGGCTGCTAGTGTGTGTGGCCACTGTTGGAAGTCATACACACTGTGCATCTGTTACATTTGCTTTGCACCAGATTGCAGACAAAGTCTTATGAGATTCTCTTACATTCCTAAGGTAGAGTCTTGTTCACTGGTCTCTGAGCCCTAGATACCACATGTCATCCCAATCCATCCCACAAAATTTCATTTAGGCTCATGTCCGGTGTTTAGGGTGTCCACAGCAAACGAGCACATTTCTTATCCTGCAAGAACATTGTTGTTATCAGAGCAGAATGAGATATTGTATGTGCTTGTGCTTTTGGGATGTTGTCATATCATGACATACAGTGATCGACTTGATCATCATGCAAGGTTTGAAATTGCTGAGTGTGAACACCCCAGAGACTGAGCAGTACCCCAGAGCCTCAGACAGCACTCTGGTTAAGTCCAACATACTAGTGACACAAATGCATCGCTTTCTTCATAATCCGGATCTGTAGTTTTATTTTTCTTGATTTTCACTTTTCAACCAATCAAAATTATGCCACAAAACATGTAATCAATATTTAAAGAAATACAGAAAAATGTGCTCTAAAAATATACATATGCAAATAGAATTACAAGCTTCATTTTGGTGCTCTGAATTATTACCAATGAATAAAACTAGATCCCCAACACAACTCACAAATACTTCCTGCATTGGAGATTGTTGCGCAAATAGTTAACTGTTGGTTGTACAATTCCAGCAGACATCGGTTTCAACTCTTATCTCCCTTACTAGGATTAAAAGGGGATACTGCTCAGCCCTGCCAGTGATAAGGGTGTAAGGATTCACTTGCAGTGGATGTGCATGCTGGGAGTTGATGATAGTGTGCAAAAGACACACAGGGGGCTATGAAGAGATTGGGTCTCTCTTCCAGCTGATTTTCTTTCTGTGAAGTTTATTCCGTTAATTATCTGACAGCCTGATCACGGAACAAAGAGCCATTCCAAGCCACCAGCCACGATGGACAGCCCTTCTTCTTTCTGCTGACATCAGAGTCCACCACAACGGTTTACCACAACAGGGCCGATCATGCCATTCTGCTCAACATCGGTGTCATTAATGCTAACTTTCATTTCTTTGCCAAACGTATAGCTGAGCAATTTCACGTGTCAACAGCAAGACTGACAAATGTTCCCTCAAAACAACAACAGCTAAATCATCCTCCGTGAGACTCCATCTGGCTTGCTGGCACAGCCATTGGAAGAAGGATTTAATGTTTCTCTTGAGGGAGTATCTGGCTTAACATCCTCAAGCCTTATAACAAAACCTGTGGTTGTGAGTTATCCACTCTTGAGGGAAGTAAGAAAATATAAAAAAAAACGCATAGACCACAGACCGTCCGGGCAAATGCCAAACTACACTTGAGGTGGAATGAAGACCATTTTTTTCTTTTTGAATGATGTAGATGTAGAAAGACTACAAAGAGAGAACAAAGTTCCTTCCAGCACAGGGTAAACATTACTATAAACTCCATCATGGCAACTTCTGAACCACCCCCCAATCAAAGGATTAAGGCCTCGGAAACAGTTTTCAACTCACTTATGCAGTTAAAGTGTAACAAGTAACCAACAATAATATTTCATTGAAGAAGGCTGTTTTCTTTGCAGAGTGTAACTTGTCTAACCGCCTCCCTTTGTTTATGCTGAAGTAATGCTGTCAGTCTGGAAACAGCTGAGAACAACTTAAACTGGATCTGTGAATGGGAAGGTGGCACATTCAGACAGCAACCGACACACTCTCCTGATAAAAGAGGCAGTCGGGGGGTCAATCAGTGTAAAGTGTGCACAATATCTAAGCCCTCCTGTGAGTGCACCTTCACCCTGATATAAAGAGACTGACCAGTGGAGTGTCGTCTGTGTTCACAACTTGATGACAATCTCTGATTCATCAAAGAGGAAGGAATGCTTTATCTATGGAATACAATCCAGGACATTTTGCCTGATGTTTTAGATGTCTTAATGTTTATAACCAGTAAGGGGAAGCTTGTAGGATCATTCAACAGCATTAATGATTTTGTGAAGAGGACACAAATGCAACGCTTCAAAATTTAGGATTTTAATTATCCAACTTTCAGCGTGCGTCTCCTGCACTGCCTTATGTCACAGTCCAACACATGAAAACGCCTCTGGGTGTGGCCTTACTTGTGGCTGTTTGGCTAGGTGGTGAAACAGATGTGTGGGAGTGTGAAAGACTGTATCAGTTTTGATGCTAGCCTTACTTGTGGGCTGTCTGGCATGTTAGCCTTCCGGGGTTGAGCAGATTACAGGTGGCTGCTTCCTTCCAGCTCTCTTCTTCATGTTTTATTTACTGTTCATCTTTTAGAAAAACACCATCTTCTGCTTGTGACTGCATTAATTATGCCTTTCTGTTTTCAAAGAGCCAAACATGGCTCTTTGATGGCTCATGGCTCTTTCAAACATGGCTCTTCAGACATGGATCTGTTCAGATCCATGCTTGCTAACACATATGCGTCTGGATATTTTAATCCAACCAAGTCACCAGAACTCAAGAGAGTCGTATCAGGCAGTCTCAAAATTTCCAAATTGTCCTTAAACATTTCTAGATGTTGCTGACTTTCCGCAAAATCCTGAAATACATGAGAACCATCCTATTGATCCGCAACAGACCGATTGTATTAGTACTTCAGATCCACAGAAGGTTAATGTTTAATAACTCAGGGAACTTAAAAAAATGTTTTATAGAGGTTGCGAAATGCATATACTGTATAAAAACTTATATCAAGTAAGTGAACTAGCTGATCAACTGTTTATATTTTGCTTGGAGTATGGTATTATGATGAATGTGTATGTCATATTGTTACCTAAAACTACCTTCCTGTAAAGTAAATACTATGTTACACAGTTCAACCTAAAGCATTTGGGTGAACACCTAAACCAAAGGTTTTAATACTCAAAGAAAGATATCAGATACTGGAGACTTGGTATCAAGAGTAACCTTTGTCATACTAAGTCAACCTAATTCAAGTTCAATCCACAATAGCCTTAGCAGATATAATGTATTTACAAATGAGATGAATAGTAACAGAGCTTTTTTCCCCAAAGGTGGCATCTGTGCCACAATTTCACAGTTGTTTTTTTTTTCTCTAATTCCCACACTCCCATGCACAAGGTGCCAATAAATAATTGAAAACCTCATTTCCTGTTGACAGCGCTGAGATCTCCCCAGAACCCTGAAAGACTAATAACATCCAGCTAGCTGTGGCAAAAAATGCATGAGCGCAAGAAACCCAAACACTCACCAGCTGCTGCAAAGCTTAGCAACTGTTGCTAAGATGCTCCCCAAATTATTTTATGGGGTATAAATGTATTTTGCATGGTTTCGCGATTTTGGCTGCAGCTTTGAGGCACAGATCACTGAGACTAACAATGCAAGACAATGCTGTCTCTAAAACACAAGCCCCACTCTCTGTCACACACTTTGCTTTGTCAACACTGGCTGTTATTCAGAGTGACTAATTCACACTACAGATGACAGGAACTTATTGTTGTGAAGCGAATCATCATGATGCAAGGATTTGAAAACAAATCAACACTGAAATAGCTGAACCAGGATTCTTCCACTGACAGATGTGCTTGAAACATCAAACTGGGTTCAGCACTTTCCCACTTTACACGTTCCAGTAGACACCACAGTGAGATGCCAATGAAGGTTAGCTAAGACTCCAAAAAAGCTGCACCCTTTTGGTAACTGAGGGTACATGATGTTGTAAATTGGGACAAAAGAGGTGATAACACTATGTGATTGTGTTTGGAAATTCTGAAACCAAAAAAACAAAATTGACTTATCTGGCTGTACCTGTGGCAAAGAACAGACCATTATGAGACCTATGCATGTTTATCTTATTTTCAGTCCCAGACAATTGTGAGGTAAAAAAAAAAACAAAACAGATTTAGATAGGAAGAAACAGAGCACTGTTTTTACATCCTACATTTATTTTTAAAAAAGCAAATGTATATCCCATCTTAAATGAAACAGTTTTACAAAGAAAGACATTGTAAAAGCATACAAACCAATGAACTGTGATCTAGCAGCATCCAAATGTTGGAGTTTCCAGAAATCATCTATGTAGCCCAGGAAAGCTACAGCAATTCCAGCTTACACAGAGCTGTCCTTTTCTTAGTGCACAACAAAGAAAACAAATACTCTTAATAAAATAAACAATTTTAGGTTAAATAAGCTTAAATAATGGTGTTAAATACAAGACACTTCCTTAGAGTTTCTGTACAAAGATAAACAAATTTGGCATTGTAAAAGTGGCTCATTGGCTCACATCCTGAAGTACTAGTACACTGCATAAGAACTGATTTTGCTGCAGATAAACTATACACATGAACTTGTGACTTGTTGTATTAGTTATGTTAGTGAGCCATTAACAAGGCATGTGTTCAATAGGAAAAAAGAAACAGTTCAGATTTCAGGCACAATGTTGTTCCTGCAAAATAAATAAATGCCTAACACAACGACATCTGGACAAGTAATTGTTCACATTAGTGCTAACCTTTAAACACAGTTTTGTGACTACTGACACATCTTTTTTATTGCTAGGACACTGAGACAGTGGATATAAACTACATATAAAAAGTATATATAGAGAAAGCACCTTTAACATCAAAATTACTTGCCTGACTGAAATATTGTACAATGCTGAAAAGCCAACACGCCTTGTTAATATCTGGATTGCTAAAATTCAGTGGAGGTTTAAAACCTTCATGGCTATAGACGTAGAAGCGTAGTATTGTTTTTCTCGCAGTTTTCAAAAGGTCTGAAATAACATATTACATTCATTTTTTTTTTCCTGTAGCAAGCACAGACTGAAGTCAACCACATCAAAGTACATTCCCAGTATTGCCCACATGGCTTATATTGGATGCACTCCCACCTCTCTCTCCGCCTCAAGCCCATTGAAAGTTTGGCTGAACATGGTCAGACACAACATAGCTATGAAGATGACAGAGTACTAGATTTTAAACCCTAAATGTACATTCCGCTACTGGAGAGATCTCTCAGGTAGGACTTCCTTGGTAGTGTTACATGAGGAATTTAAGGTTTTTTGTCAATGGTGTGGAAAAACCACTCGGTAAACTTCCTCAGCTGGGCGGCTGCAGTCTGGGACTCTTCTTGAAGACGTAGGTTGTCCTGCCTCAGGTGCTGTACTTCCACCTGGAGGATGGCCTTGTCCTCTTTCTCCTGTGCGAAGCAGACACACAAAGGCTCAGTCTCGCATCGCTTCCGGCAAGCATCTTACTCATGAAAACGCAGATGTCTGTTCTTCACGGACTGCTGCGAAAACTGGGCACTCTTAAGACAAGCTTGAGAAAGGGGCTCCCACAGCAATATCCATCCATCTAAGGACTGTGTCAAGGTGGTGTAACTGTGTTGTTCCTCAGCACCTTTGCACTAACCCTGGATAGTTTTGGTATCTCAGCGTGTGAGCAGTCTGAGACGTGGATTTGACCTTAACCCACTTGGCGGAAGGAATGACATGAAGACAAGACTATAGGAACCTCTATTCCACCTGCCTCCCGCTAGGCAGAATGAGCTTGGAGCGCAGGGAGAACTGCAAACTGAGGACCAATGGAAAAATAGTGGTCTTGACCGGTATTTATACTTAGATGGGCATGGCTGAGGAGTAGGCCTTCACTCATAAACTTCACTTCTACAGTATGTATCATTTATGGGGAAAAACTTAACAGAACAGGTTTGGCACACGAGCAGTGGTGACTGTAACTGCTTGAACTTGAAATGTTGATGCCATGTTTGCATTAAGAGAAGGAAGCTCAGGGTGAGCAATCTGTCAGGCCTTACCTTTCGTAGATCATACTGCAGCTGTCTGAGAATCACCTCCAGCTGGTTGACCTTCCCTGTGAGGGTTGACGGAGAACTTTCCCTGCACAGAGGGAAGGAGGCATGAACAGAATGCTGATACGACACGGGCTGTATCTCGGCCACGCACTGATTGAGAACAGCAGCACAAAGGAACATATTATCCTCGGACTTTCCGAATATCATTTTTTAAAAAAACAAGTGGCTGCAAAGTTAATTCCCCACCATGTGCGAGTCATTTTAGAATATTATATCTTCTCGAGGCAAGCAGAGACTGCCATTCCAGTTTGATAACTGGAAAGCTGACTGCCTTTTAGAAGCAGATGTCGAAAAGGGAAGATCCAAGTGACTTTTGTCTGTGGGTCTTGTTTTGTGGTGGCAGCAGCACAAGCTCTGGATGTACACTCCCTGCATGCAAGTATCACTACCTACCCAATGTCAATGAGGTTCTCTTCTGCTGCGGCCACTTGTCTCGACAGCTCCTGGGAGATCTCCAGCACCTCAGCCCGTTGCATGTCCGTCATCGTGCAAAAAGAAGCAACTCTCTGGTCTAGAAGGGGGTGAAGAAAAAACGCTGTTATTTTGCATGCAGATTTTTCCTGGGGATTTTCTATCACCTTACACATGTGTACAGTCAGTCAGCCAAATCCTGTTAGTACCAAGGGTGGGTGGGCTGGTGACATGAAGAGAGGCATTTAATGTGCCACCCTGGGAACAAGAGGATGGTTCAGCCAATGCAGGGTTGGCAACCACAAACAGGCATCACTGCATCCCACCAGCTCCAGCTCCAGCTCCTCTCTTGACAGTGTTGTCTGGAGGCAAACCCACAACAGGCGCACGCACACCCGTCTAGAGCAGGGCTGACAAATCCTTTTTGACTAGCCAATGCTAATTTGCTCAGCAGATTGCTCCTGCTCAAGCCTATGGAAAAAGCAGGCAGGTTGTGGGGAGACAATACAGCAGTCTCTGTCACAAATGCCTTTTTGAAGCCTGATGTCTTCATGCTTGGCATGCACAGAATCTCATCCCCAAGATGCAGAGAGCTAATTATTCCATGCCAAACCATCACCTAGGAAGCCATTGTGATGACATACAGGATCAGGATCTTCTTCCAATTCCAGACCTGGAATCAAAAATGCAAAGTATTCCCTAAGAGAAACAGTTTCTGCAGACTGCAGCTGCTTTCCTGCGTAATGCCCAAATACTTACTTAAGGTGCTGTCAGATCACAGTCATACTTGTTTTACTGTATGAGGCCCTAAAGCCAGCTCAAAATACCAATAAAACTGAACTTGGCAAACAGTAAAATAATACAGTGCATTTAAGTATTTTAGGCTTATTGTATCTCATGACTGCAACTAGACATCAGGGATCTGTGTATTTTATAATTTTATACGTATGAAAATATCATTATCCGAACACTGCAAAGCGTCCTATTAGCCAGATACAAAAGAACAAGCTAGGATATAAAGGGAAATTGAACATCAATATATTTAAATTTCCGCTCTAATCCTGAAAAACAGACCAAGATATTCCAGAAACTGTTGTAAGACAAAACATTGTTTCTGCATTTTGTATATTTATAGTGTTTAGAGATGACTACACAGGTTATGTTCACTGCATTTTGATACATTTATAATGAGACCTATCCGAAAAATAATCAACAGACACAAGGTATTCTAGGTGACATTTAAGAAATCTATGATTATTTCAGCACGATAAACTGCTTGCCTTGTAGTCATATCTCCTCAGGACCAGTCTTTGGATCAGTGTGCAAAGATACTGGTGTGGAAGAATTTGGAACGGTAATGGGAAGTTGATCAGATCAGTTGATTTCCATTGTCATCTAACAGAACATTTAATGACCTCGGAAACAAAAGAGTCCTAAAAACTATTTAGATCCTGTCAGTTAGACATGCTGCATTAAAAAGTTGCCGGCTATTTTTATTCATTATAAGAGGATCAGTGCTGCACTATGAAAGATAAAGCGCATGTCCCCAAATCTCTCCTCTCTGGTTTTTATTGATAAAAATCAGACGGAATTGCTACACGTAACAGCAGGCTCAGATTTTACACATTTGGGGGTACCCATATAAAAAAAAAACAATGAGAGCCCTATTTCCTAACAAATATGTTGCTAAACAAACATCTAATAACCTTCAGAAATGAAATTCACACATCAACAGACCTAGATAAATTCAATTCAATTCAAACAGTGAGCTCACAGAGTTGTGTCAGTGGAATACTGTACCTCTGTTAACATGTTAAGCAGTAACAGTGGCTTCATAAAGTACATACAATGACAGTTTGAGCTTACTTCATCAATTAATTTAACAACATAAATCAGATGTTCTTAAACCTACAGGAGAAAAACACATTATAAGCAATTCATGTGAATCACAAACGTACATAAACCTACTTCTAAGTTAAACACAGCAATACAGTGAGAGGAAGCTCACAGACCTGTGAGATCTGTGCTGGAAAGCTCTCTCTGGCTATTAATACCACTTCATACTCACCACAAAGCCATTAGTGCAAGCACATGCACTCTAACGCAGGCCTATGCAATAGTGTAAACTGCAAACACAGAGCTCAGCCAAGATGCGCAAGGCTCCCGAATGCATGACGCGCACTGTATCGAAGGGCAGAATATTTTTAGAATCTATCAACAGAATGGTGTGCACACACAGCCTGGCACCTGTCTTCACTACCCTACTACTGAATGCAGGCGATGTGCTGCATCTACAACAATGTTTGCCAAGCTACAAAAAACCACCTCGTCACAAAAGTCACTGCAACATGGCTCTGTCTAGGAGGATGAGCCACACATTAGAAGCTGCTGTTTCAGTGACAGCTCAAAGGATCGGAAGCCACAGATCGACTTTCAAGACACAGGGGCTGGTTTGCAAACCGTGCTTGAGGTAATCAATAGGATTCGTTTTCACTGCCACTCTGTGCCAGCTGGTAACTCGAATGTACTTATGAACGACATTGACAGGCAGTAAATTTGTCACGCTGCCAAAGCGTATTTATCTCCAATGTAAACTGAGATTTTTTCAGAGGCGTGTGTTAGATGAGTGGGAATTAATGGAGATGTCAATTGAACTCAAAGGCAATGGGTGATGTCAACTGAATATACAAAGAAGGTGTTCTGTTTCATTTGTCCTATAGCCGGGGACTGCCTGATAACTCAGCACTGCACAAGGGACTGTCGGCATGTGGTAATTTGTCCTGAAGGGCCCTGGTGTAAACTTTCTTATATTTTTTTATGCAATATTCTAAACCTTCCACAATAATGAGTCTATTCCCCCATACTCATAATTGAATCCCCTCTATTAACACTTGATCACACTAAATGTACTGTGGATAGTTAAATAAACGCTTTGAAACTGAATCCAAAGATTCAATGCACTGTATTGCCTACACAGACAGGATTTTATGGTAGAGAGCCTTGGGGGTTTTTAAGAAGGTGGTGTGAGAAAATCACTGGCTTGTGGTGGACGAGCTTTCATAGTGATGTCACTTTCTGATCCTTTAACATTGGCTCTTCCCACCTCTGCAGCAGTGCAGCACAATTCACCCATGTTCCTGCACGAATAGGAACATGAGCCTTTTAGACCACTGCGAGACTGGTTAATTTTCTCCTGCTGATGATCTGCTGCTGGATACTGATCCTGTTCAGTACGAGTGAAACTGCAGGTTCAGACACTGGGTGTCTGTACTTGGCTGAGGAGTCAAAAGTTCGAAGCTGCCATTTGTGGGGATTAGGACTGCATGCCTCTTAATCAGTATACCCCTCAAAAGTATGTTGATAGCTCCTCACAGCCTGATATTGACACCTGAAGCAGGCTCAGCAACTGAAATGTTAAGCAGCCAACGCGCACAGACGCAGATCCCATCTTGAACCTCTAGAGTTGACAGTGTAGGACCTATAGTTATTTAAAAGCCACTACCCGGGATGTTCAAAGAGATAAAAAAGCTGTGCAACCCCAGGCCTGGGTCTAGTTTAATCTTCCCTTCTGGTGCAGTACACAGGGGGAAACGGTGCCAGTGCCTCACCATGCTGATTTCAAAAGCTGTGAGCCTGATCCATGCGGCGCGGCAGCTCTAGAGTGATGGTTACCTGCAGAGTCAGCGCCGCTCTGAAATGGCTGGAAAGCACACTTCTGCAAGCCCTGTCAGACCGGCTTAGTGTTATCAGCTAGCAGTCGCCACGCCCAAGCCCCAGCCCTCTCCAATGAAACCAGTTACTCCAACACACATGGGTTAGTGTTAAGGGCTGACTTTGGAGGGGTATCTCACACTCTTTACAAGGCCAGTGCATGAATCAAGACCCAACTCGTTTCACACCCGTACTCTTCTTTTACCTTCCAGAAAGAGCGCAAAGGACAGCTCTAGAGCAGGAGAAAGAGATAAGCAAATGCACATTTTGAAAAACAAACACCACAAATATATGGATAATTCTTGATTCTATAGTATGATGACAGCGTAACAGTACTAAAAAAAGCCAAAACCACGACTAGCTATAAGACACTGCTAGGTCATTTAATTTTCATTCAACAGCATTTTTTCACTTTGCAAAACAATGCTAATGCTCAGCAATTACACAAATAATCTATTGTTTTCCTTCTGTCATATGTTATTAAGACTAGAACTGCAATATCCATAAGCCTGTATTAGAAATATTTGGATGAATTAGGCCCTTTCTATGACTGTCTGAACAATTACTCATATCTCAAGAGCAAAGGACTGCAACTGATTCTCAGAAACAGGTGGCCAATATTTTGCAAGCACTTTTGATCTGTTTAAATGAGTGTGAATTTTTATTCCTTTCTAAACATCATTGATCTTTTCCAATGAACTTTAAATAGGAAGGAAATATGAAAATAAAAATAAGGGTTACACAATGTCACATTTCTTTCATGATCTAATTATAGGACACAATGTCTGACAAAACAATATCCTCTCAAGAATGCCACTCATACATTTAATTACTGATTTATGTTAAAAGCAGATTCATTCCACCTGGCCAAACCATGAATTGCACTTGTGGAACAATGCTGCCTCCATCATCTGCTGACTTAATAGATTTCCACAGGCAAAATCTGTGCAGATCTGGAAATTATAATGATTGTGCCTCTCTCAGAACTACTGCGCAGTATCTCATTTTCCCCAAAAGAGAAATAAAATACTACAACACTAATGAGAAAGAAAAGTCTTTTCTTGTCAGTGAATTAAGGTTCAAAGACCTCAACAATCTAGAGATGGAAACTGGTCAGATGTAAAAGGTGCTGACTTCCCCTCCTCCACCAGAAATTAAAGTAGGTACTGCAGCCAAAATCAAAATGTTAGCAAACTGTGTAGTTCACAAATGTATTTTGTAGCAGGACAAATCATGATTTTGTTCCTCCAGGAGTAGATAGTTGTACTCTGCGGTTCTTGCCATCAGTACCAGCAATGGTGTAATTTACCCCTAATTACCAAGAAAGAAAGCCCAGAAAAACTGGTCAAGACATTTATTTTTTCTAGAATTGATTACTGTAATACCCTGCTTGCTAGGGTAACTAAATCCACTCTGATCAAACTCCAAAATATTCAGAATTTGGTTGCCAGAATCCTGACCAGGTCTCATGCACATGGTCACATTACTCCTGACCTTGATAAGCACTGGCTTCTTATCAGGTTTCAAAATCTCTTGCTCTTCCTGATGGAACCTCAGGACATGTCTGATTTATTACTACCTGAAGAAGGCTCCACAGCCGAAATGTTGTGTTTCTTTACCTCTCTTCAGCAGGGAATAAACCTTTACTTGTTCCTTTGCAGCCTACGCATGCTGAAGCAGCTACCTACTTAATTCATTAAGTTAACCATTAATTAACCAGTCTGCTCCCCACCTTGCAGTCTTTGTTTCTAACTCTGATCTTCTGAATGTCCCCCAAGCTCACTTACATTCTGTGGGTGACAGAGCCTTGTCTTGCTGCGCCCCAAAGCTCTGGAATCTTGTCCCCAAGGATATCAGAGAGTCACCTACCCCTGAGTGCATTAAAATCTAGACTCAAAACCGTTTTTTTTTATAAAGGCTTTTAGTTTATTAGTTCTTGTGTCTGCTTCATTTTCAAACATGCTGCACTCCTAACCTCTTGGCTTTCTGTGCCTATTTTGTAATTTGCTATCGTTATAGGTGTTTTTTAAAACTACTGTAATGTGATAAGAGATTTTACTTTTACTAAGATGCTATTTATAATACATTATTATTATTAGACAAGCCCACTTTCCTCACCCCCTCTCTCAGCATGTCTAATGGTGAAGAAAATGTCCTTACACTGTTTCTAAGCTCACACCACTTTCTATACTGTATCCATTTCCTTGCAGAGCACACTCAACAATGAAAGCCGTCGTATTATTAGACAATGCACATACTGTACGGCTGTTGCAGCAGAAAACTGCACAGCACTCTGGATATGGTGTACAGTATTGATAACTGGTGCACCTGAACCTGCAAACTCCTAAAGAAGTCCAGAAAATAAAACAGGTTTTACAGTGGGACCAGGGTTTGTGAGATCATAGAAACAAAAAAGAATGCTTGATTCCTGTGTAATACAATAACTAAAAAACAGACAAGAACATAGAGAGGCAACATCAATAACCTGCATTGAAGTGCACTACTATGAAATGCAAATCATTGTAGGGAATAAAGCAGCTATAATTGCATAACACTGGCAGGCAGCAATTTAATTGCAGGATGTTATGGTTAAATTATTTTCTTGAGTGGTTCCTTGCTGGGATCTGCACTGTTGAAATTGCTTCAGTTGTATCTGAAAATTTTCCTTTCTTTCAAATTAGCAGCCTGAAACAATAGAACGCATATGGACATGTAAAAAAACAGATTTAATTACAGACAGATCTGCAAAAAAACACAGCATTTAGGCTCCTCCAAACATGTTTAGACAACCAAGCCATAGTGCATGTTTAGGTTGTAGTGGGATGATAGATATCTAGGTCTACTTGCGCCGGACTGCCAAAGGCTGTCCAATGACTTTCTCATTTATCTGAAATGCATCTCATTTTAAGAGGCATGAAAGTCATATGGGGGTGTCAGCCTATATATCATGGTGAATTTCTCTACTATGTGTGACCTTGAAAATAAAAGAGAAAAGTAGAGTGGAGCAATATTAGTCCCTATTTTTATGTCTGTTTCTTCAGACCACCTCATTATCAATGGTAATGGACTTTAAGCATTAAAGACGCCATACAGAAATTCTGTTTTCTGACAAAAAACTACATCACATCTTGTGAGTGACATACTGTAACACCTCTTCTGGCATGTTTTTGGGGCATTTTAAATCTCACTGCATTTCAAATGATTGTAACAAAATTCGTTCAACTTCATCAAGAAATATTCAAGTGGCTGATCTTCAGGTTTTCCACTAGTATGAATTTATCACAGCAATCACTCTTTATTTAATGAACTTGATAAATATTCATTGAATAAAGAAGCTGGCAGATTCAGCAAGTCTTGCTGTAGAAATCAATGAAAGGAATCAATAAAAAGGTTATGGGATAAAGCACCTTTTCAGCTCGTTCTGAGCTGAGCAAGTTATTTAGTCTGAGTTTTTTCCTGTTTATACGAATTGTCTCCGTGTTGAGCTGCTTCAGATAAATGAGGCATGTGGCAGACAGCAGCATGCTTCCTGTCCTACCTTCAAAAGCCCGAGCTGCGTCGACCAGGTGAGACCAGTCCAGGCCAGAGGCAGTGTCTGGAAGGGGCATCAGGCCGGGATCTGTGAACTTGGACTTGTCAGCCAGAGACCCGTCAGAGAACCAGAACTCATCTGTGGAGACAAGTAATCAGATCAACCACCACCAGAACAGCGTTTTATTTTTCCTAGTCCAGTCTTCTCTGACGCTTGCCATTAACTCAGGCCTCTGGAAAGCAGACCTATCATCAAGATCACAGCAGACTTGCGTGTGGACTTGTAGAGGCATGACACTTTACCCTAGATTCCAGCTCCTATCCCTACCATGATCCATAATCCATCTTCTAATGGGAGAAATATCCTCACATTAAGTTGCATAGGAGAAAGAAATCGACCTTCTTATAGTCACTTATCCCCTTATTTTACATTATTTAATTGGGGAAAGTCCCCTGTTATACTGTACGTGGTTTTGCTCTAAGTTACATTTTTGTGGCCCCCAACTCCAACATATAGCGGGGACCCCTTGTAAGAGAAGAAGGGGGTCAGAAAGGAAATTTAAGACTTCGACTCAGCTCTGTGTAGGCCAGATGGTACATGTAATTCCAAGGCCACTTAGTCACTGATTTCCCGTTGTGTGTTTGCCAGTACACAAGCCAGAGATGTTTCATTGCCAATATGCCATCACATCAGTGGGAGTTCCATCTGTCAGCACTACTTGACTAAGAGCAGACTACTCAGAAAGACTGTCTTTGAATAAACATCTCCCTGTTTTAGACTTCCAGGAATCCCTACACTGATCCCAATATTAGGTTTTCCATTTCCATTATTATTTTTATTTACGCTTCTCAGACTAAGCAGATATTTGTAGAATCGGATTTGTTTTTTCGATTGGGCAGGAGATTAAGGCCTTGAAGCAACAGTTCTCTGTGCTTATTATAGACATTTGAGAAGAGCACTGTAAGGACAGAACACTGAACATGTCTGGAAGGAAAATAAGATTCAAGACTCTGCAGTTCACAGTTACATTTCAAAAACTTTGACCTTTGAGAGGTGGTCATAACTACCCTGTACACCAATAACCATGATTTTAAAATATACTATAAGCTGTACTTAATAATGGTACACTAGTATAAAAACATGCGATGTGACTATTTTTTTAGTTATGTGAATTTGTTTTTCCCATACAAACATTTAAACTTAAGAAAAATGAAAACAAAATTTCTCTTATTCAAATGAATATTTAGTGCACATGTCCATGACTTATAAAGAGGATTAGGAGATTTTCACTGGGCTGTTGACTTTAATTGTATTTCTCAAGATTCCCTTAAACACAGTCAGACTGGACCAAAAATAATTCAGACATCTGTGGTACACCTTGCAGTAGCAGGACTTCCCTTAGAATCGTAGGATTGTAAATGATCCAATTACCATCAGAGTTATCGCCCATTTAGAAGAATGACAAATAAAAACCATCCTCCACTGGATTATGAGGTAGAGGTGAACTGCAGATCCTGAAACTGACAAATGTGCATTTGCTTTCTTATCCCTTTGTGGATTCACCAAATAAGGTCCAGGGTTCGAGAAGCCAATTCTGACAAATGTCTGAGTACTGGAGAAATGCTTTATCCCTGTTTTCTTACATATGTTATTTTTCATTCTGTGAATTAAATTTCATTTTGGCAATAACAAACATTCATGTGCAGCAGTTATGGAAAAAAAGAAGGCTAGCACAGCTACCACAATATAGGGCCTACAAACAACACCAGATCAATCACAGATGGGATCTTCATGAACAGAAGCTGTTTCTCTCTGGTTCAGTGATTCCTGTATACAGTACAAAGCAAATCTTCACTACTCAGACTCTGCAATCCTGAAAGCATGTGGAACATAGAGCAGGAGATACTGATAAATGAAAAGGACAGCAAAGTGTGGGACACCTGTAGTAAGTGTTCCTGTCAGTGATGGTGCAATTCTATGCTTCTCGGTGTGTAGGACGAACTTATCTTCCCACCTGTTGTGAACAGACAATGCCTTTTTTCTGCATTATGTGGATTTCAATTATACACCACAGAGCAGGTATGAACCTGCAATTACTGAAAATTAGCTGATGGTGAAAGACTGCCAGGAAAAATGAGTAAAAAATTCCTTTTTGTTATAATATTATCTCTTAAATCCATTTGATAGTTACTTCAGAGATACATAATCCACAAAGGAAACAAATAATTTAAAGATAATACAGGAAGGAATGGTTAAATAATCCATAGTCCTGCATTCTACAGTTTCCTTAAAAAGGACAGAATGAGTCAAAGTAATGTCTCTTTTTGTCACCAGTAAACGCTCAGTCAACACTTCATCTTCAGCTTCTGTTATGAAGCTTTTGTCTTCATTAGTGTGGTCAGATGCATTTGCAGCAACAAGATAAAACACCCTCGTTGCGATTCACAGTTTCAGGGGATGGACAATTAGCATGCTCAGACGATCGGAATTGACAATTGTAAAGCTCCGTGCAGTGGTCCTCACAAGCATAACTCACTTCTCAGGCCAGACGTCCCCTGCATCAGAGACATGCGCGGGGGCAGGGTGCTGTGGTAGGGTGGCGTCGTGCTGAACAGGATATCGTTTGGCACAGCTTGGTCGAGCATTGAACTGCGGGAGCTGGCGTAAGAGGATCCCCTCCTGTTACTGCAGACGCTCTCGTCAGACAGGGTGCGATACAGAGACCTCCTCGGGGACAGGCCACCCGCCACAGACATCTGACGGATATGAGCAAACAGAAGAGCACCTCATGAAGTACATGAAAGCACAACAACAGTATGTGATACATAAAGAAAAAGGTAGTGGGAGGGAACTACTTTCGCAAACATTCATTGTGAAGTTTTATTGTGGAGGGAGCAAAAGTCTTCTTATAAATGGTTTTATTTGAATTGGGTACCTTAATATTGTCTTCCAGAAGGGGTGTGTGGCATCAGCTGTGGTGAGTGAAGGCTGCACAAGGAGGAATATGGAGCAGACAGCTTCAGACTGAACCAAAATCCCCAATAATATTGTTTCACCATCAGTCTAACTGCCCCTTATTATCACACCAAATTGAAATGGAATCTGTAAAGGCTGTCACAGACAAAACAGAACTCTTTGACAAGGACGCTTTGTCATTTCAGAGTAAAATTTTTAAAAAAAGTCCTTTTAGAAATTATCAGTAAGCTTTAAGTCAAGAGGAAGGAAAACATAAATGTGATGGCATTTAAGTAACCACAATAGTTTGGAGGCTGGAGTTGGGTGGGCAGTGTCAGCCTGCGAGCTGTAGAGGAACAATTACAGCAGAAAAGTACAGTGGAGAAGTAGAGAGTGTAAAATTACACTGGACACCTTCAAACACGACACAGACTGGAATGCTACTGGGACCTATAAAGGCAATACTCACTGCTGAGGATATGAACAGGGTATGAAACGACATGAAAAAACAAACCCTGCTACAGTACAAGCTCAGTGACCACAGCCTGGCCATTGAAACTGGACAACACAGACAGACCGGGGTGCCCAGAGAGGACAGGCTCAGTGACCACAGCCTGGTCATTGAAACTGGACAACACAGACAGACCTGGCTGCCCAGAGAGGACAGGTTCGGTCACTACAGCCTAGCCAGAGAACTTGGACAACACAGTCAGACCTGGCAGCCAGACGAAATACACATTTTCTGTTGCACTGCAAGAAATACTATGGGATTAGACAAATAGTCTTTACAAAAATAACCCCAGACTATCCACACCTGTCAGAATCAGACCCAATCTTCCAATCCTACTGGAAAAGGAGGGAGGAAACTCAACAGAGCTGCAAGCCAGTGAGTGTTAGAGTTTTATTATTATTATTATTATTATTATTGTTGTTATTGTTATTGTTATTATTATTAATACTATTATGATCTCTGTTAATGTTGATTCTTACTTCTGCCAATAACACTCATTAATTTGAATGTTTGAGTAAAACACTATTTCAGCTACAGTGTGGAGCCTCTTCAGGTGTGTAGAGGAGAGAGGGGGTGTTGTGAATATTAATAGCTGAGGACGATTAATTTTTTGGGTGGATAATCAGTCAGAACCATAAGGGATTACTGGGGGAAGTGTGATTGAATGGGGAGATTAATGAGCTTCTATCTAATTAGCACCCTTTTAACCAGCTCCCACCCATTCTCAACTCTGCTCTCTTTAGTTCCCCCACCCACCTCTTCCTGTCCTTCTCTCCCATTGTCTGGTTTGCTCTCCTCTCCTACTTTACTTTTCACTGCAGAATTAACCTCTCCTCACTCCTATAATAGTTATGCTACATCTGGGGACATATTAGCACAGACATTTTGGTCCACTTAGTAGTTAGTAGTTAACTGCTCCAAGGATTTCAATCACCCGTTGTTGAAAGTTGCAGACAGTATTGTGCACATGCACATCCAGAACACGATGTTCTGAAAATTGTGTTTAGATGAGTGTAGAAACCTCTATTGCAAATGCAGTATATTCCATGTTTGCATTGCTTTCAGTAGGAAACTTAATAGGCACTTGTGCACAGTGATGAAAAACGTTGCCTACAGGAGTAATCTGTTGTGAAGAATTTAAAAGCATCGACTGAGATGTGTTCCAAGTCTTGCTGGGTCATTCTGCGTGTTATTTACAGTGCTGTACAACATGAGCAACAACTAGGAATTCTTCTTTTGCCAACCCCCTGGACAGAACTAGCAAAAGATGAATCTACTCGGTGTCTAAAAGAACTAGTACAGCAACCCTATTCCAAATACAAAGCGGATATTCCTGTTGTGCACTGCTCTCTGGAAGAAGGACAAGTGGGTTCAAAGTACTCTATTTACCTGTACATGACATAGAATAGCTATGGTACTCACAAGACAAGTTATTCCAAATACAACTGGAAGTCTACTTTTATGTACCTGTAGTGAGTACTTGTTAGCTGGATTGTCAAAAGGTTAAGTGCTTCTCTTAAAGCATTAGCTTGCATAATGAACTGCCAATGAGGCAGATAAAAAGATTAATGCAGGTGAGAAACATGTCATTGTCCTTTCTGAGATCTCAGTAACTGTGTGCATTCCCAAAACGTGCCATTTTAATTACCTTGTGTTACAATCGAGATGCAGACTTGCACGGGCCATGGTTTCCCACTAGCTTAGGATCAGAGGCAGAAGGACAACATGATAAAGCACACAAGCACAGAATAAAATAAAGCTGCTTCATCCTCAGAGACGCAGGGCGAGTACGACAGTAAAGGACAGGGAGCCCAGTACTAACGTTTGTGATTGATGCATTGATCCAAAGCGACGTACTGTACGTTTGTACCCATTTACTCACTGGAGCATTATTTGGGTGATGTGCTTCACTCAAGGGTGCGACAGCACTGTCCTATCCAGGAGCTGAAACCCACAGCCACTGCTCCACACACACTACTGCCCCGAAGAAACCTATACCTTTTCAAAAACAGAAACTCCTTCCTTCTGAAAGGGGGCTAATGGTATACTAATGGGAAACATCCACATATATTGGGGGGGAAGTAGAGCAAAAGACTCAGGATCTCCAAAATGTAAAATGTTATTAAAATAGGATTTTCTCTTACTTCTCACAAAAATAAGAAAAAGAAACAAAATATATATATATATCAGAGGCCGACCAACATGATAAATATTTGGGTGTCAGAGGCATATACTGAAATATTAAGGTATCCAGAATGTGATTTTAAAATACATGAGACCTCAGATTCTCAATCTAAAAAAAATCCAGACTAAGCCTAATATTTCTCGGATGTCAGTTCAACAATGAAGCTTTATAATGGATAATGCCAAAGTCTGACAAACTTTCCTGTAACAGGATGTCTGCCAAGGTGTTTTTGATAAACTCATTTTGTCAAGGAGAACAATATTACAAAAGCAATATTGTTGTGTACTTGAAGCAGGTTCCAAATATTACATTAACCTTCTGGGCTAGAGAATTCAATCATAGTTTTAAATGTCATTGACTCTTTGTTTTTAATGACTTTAATGACTACATTCATATAGCCATTTTTGTAGTTTTATATAAACGAATGTGGATGGAATGTTCTCATATCACTGAAAAACTCATTGCTTTAAATAAGAAGTCAACTATACAAAATAGTGTTGTTAAGTGCTTCAAACATACTGTAGCTCCAAGGCTGAAAACATGGGCTGCATCATGTACAGTAGGAGTCCCTGAGGGGGACCTGAAATATTTTTACTCGGTTATCACCTTACTGCACAAGCTTTTCTGTGTTTTTATACCTTAAAACAACATCTTTTGTAGTGTCTGTCTTGCTTTATCAAGTCTAAAATAATACTTAACATGGTCTACAAGCATGGTCTACAATTTACCTTGTGTACAGTCTTACAGAATTGTGTAGCGTTTTTTGGATCAAAAGTGATAATCAGGTAAAATAAAAACTCCAGTTCCTTAAAACTGATATAAAAGTTCCTTCTCATCAATTTGCTTTGCTTTACAATGTTTAAAAAAGATTTTCTTGGGACATGAAGCACTGAAACCATTCTCCCTAAGCACATGTCCTAGTTCCCAGTCCCTGTAAGAATACTCACTGTCACACAGGATAGTCTTTCTTTTATCTTCCATGTGTCAGACTTCAGATTCAATTTTGTTCATCTAAAGTTTGCAGATTTTTTCTCTTCATATTGTTGTAAATATTGAATATTATTGTGCACTTTGGATACATACTGTTCAAACAAGATCATCCACAAAGAAGATATAATATTTCTTAGTAAACAGTTCAAAATCTTCTGGTGCTGATTTACATCCAGATAAATACATCCAGATTTCCTCTTCTAGGATAGAAGGGCAGTATACATTTGGTCAGATAACCTGTGACACATATCAAAAGCAATTTGTATAAGAAAAGGCAGCTTTCAATTTCACTATGTTAAAAATACACCTGTATCAGTAGGATGCTTCTGATAGGCCAAGTGGGATAAATGAATCCAATTTAATATCAAGATTACTGATAAGATTCTGTAGCCAAGCAAGGGATTTAGGGGATGCCACGACAAGAATATTATGCTCATAAAGACCTATTTTAATGTTACATACATGTATCATTTTTTAATCTTGTTGTCATCAAATTTTACTTTGGCCCAGGAAACCTAAACAATGTATTTCACCTCAAAATTGGCATAGCTTAAGAGGATGCACCACAAAGTGAATTATTAAGGTTCCTTGCTGCAGAAGGCTAAGAAAAGAAAATCTGTTAAAGGCGGCAATTTCCTTTGGAGGCTGACGCAATGGTTTCTTATCTCAGGAAGCTTTGTATAATGACCTGTCAGCTTCAAAATAAAATCAATTTTGTATTAAGGATCTCGGAGTCTTGTTTCCCAGCTCCGCGGCCTGTATCCAACTAATGCCAGTGTCTGTTCATTTCTTTCCCTTTAATCGTCCATTAAGGAGCACATCTTTATTAATTAGTAAGATATTACATTGTCTCCAATGCCGGAATTCCTAAATGAAGGTTTTCTGACCTTAAGATAGCACGAGCGTGCAGGTCAGGACAAGGTTACCAAACGTCTGGCAGCCTCTGTTCTCTGTGCATTGCTCTGGCACACATGATTTTAATTTAAATTGACTGGATTCTAATATCACAGCATTCTGCATTGATTAACCGGATGTGATTCACATTTGTATCTGAATGACAATGGAATAAATTTATGAGACACCAACTGTCTCAAGAAAGCATAAAATACGTGTTCCATTACAGGACAAAGTGAAACAGAAAATCTACAGTGGCCACTGTAATCTGCTTTCTCTTTTCTTCCTGAAGATTAAATGCCTCAGACTACTCTCAACTCTTGTGTTAATTGTGCATGCACTTATTGTTGCCAAACACCTATGGATAAACAGCATTGTGCTGGTTATTGTGTCAACTTCACACACATTGTGATGACATTTTTCAGATAAACTTTTCTTTACCCCATGCAAACTAGGGATCAAGAATATTTTTGGACATATGGACTCCAGCCCAAAAAAAAGTGATCGAAGCCAGCATCAGTCAGCAAAACTTCACAGCCTTTCTGTAGTAATATCATACGAAAGACACCTCTGCCTTGATTACTTTTCCAAAGCATTCTTAGCTCACAATAGCTAGAGTCATGACTTCCTCTCTGGACCTGCACCAGGAGGGTGTAGGAATTGGTCTCAGTTTAAAAGACAAACATTATATAATGTCTAAAAAAAGCTCCATTGTATGCATCTCTTGCATCCCTTCCTGACTGATAATGAATTACAAAAAGGGGAATTTGAAATGCAATTAACTGAATTACACTTAAAGACCACGAAACACATCAAACTTTGTGATTTGAGTAACTTCCTGGCTTTAATCCATTACAGCCAATATGAATACACTTAGCCCTTAACAAATTAGATTAACCTCATATTCTCCTTTTAAAATTTGGAAGGCTTTGCATGAGGAAGCCAGTTATAAAAAATACACTCCTTAGAGAAACCACAGATGTGTTTTATTAGGGCTTTCTTTCTTACTGGGCCAGGTAATCTATCAGGGCAATATTTATTTATATCCATGTTTCTGCAGACCCCTTCTTGACACAATCCAGGCAGACTCACTAGAACTGAAGAACGATGTTACAAAGACAGCATTATCTCATCCTCAGTGGTGCACAACGGCTTATCAAACAGTCTCTTAAGTACCATATACAAAAAACAAAATAACAGGTTAAATGTATTCAAAAAAGATCCCATCAATCAATAGTCAGGCTGCTAAAAATTAATCCAACTATTCAATCTCATGCAAAGGTAGATCTTTGGAAGTACCTATAATACAGAAAGGACATGAAACACTGCATGCAACCACACCTCACTGTATATCAGTGATTTCCAGCACTGTGACAGGATCACATGCATTTGTTGGGCCACTGGTTTAGAGTGCCATACCTTGAGGTCTCAAGTTAATACGTGCATTTTTATTTCTTGATGGTTCTTGTTTGCAGAAAAAAAGTCTGAAGACGATTCGATTCCTTCCCTATCTGCAGGTTTTCAAATACCACCAGCTCCTGTGTGCAAATTGCCTCCGACAGGTGTACAGACTAAAGGGATAGCTAACCTTCCTCCTGCTCTCTTCCACAGGGGGGCTGTCGGGCAGCATCAGCTTCAGAAACTCCTCCTTGGAAAAGCCTTGCTGGTGCTTCCTGTCTCTTTCAGCAGCCTGGAGTCGGCAAGACGTATCCGCCGGGTCGACATAGAGCCGCCTACAGAGGAATAATAGCGTGTTAACCATCGGGCACAGCGGAGCCTTTTTTTTCAGGCAAACCAGTGCTCTGAAACCTTTGAGAAAATGCCCCGGCCTTTTATAAATCAAAACCAAACTATTTGACAGTTCCTCTATGACTTTCAGAGGCAGCTGGGAGAACTATCCGTGCAGAACAATTTGTACTTTTCTGAACCTGTATCTGGGTTCTATGTGGCAATGTGTGAGTTTTAGGTGCAAACATTTAATTACAGCAGATAGGTGCTCAAAAGAAAAAAAAAAAGGTGCAATTCATTCTCCTCCACTGTCATGCAAAGAACACAGGGGTGGGCTGAACTCGCAGACTGCAGACCTCATCCACATGCTGTGGGAAGATATAAGGTATCCATGCATAAAACGAGGGGCAGATCAAAGCTGTCATGACATTCTGAATGCTGTCATACATTCTGATTTATCTGTACCTGCACAATACATTTTAGACCACAAAAAGAAGAACCTGTACTTTCTCAAGGGAAGCCAGAATGTACATTTTGTTCAGTGATCCACAAACAATGCAGAAATAGTTTGCATTCTACTTCATACTGCAGAAGCGCCTGAAACTAATTGCAAGGTCAGACTAGGACTAGTGTGGAGCTAACTCAGAAGTTAGCTCCTGATTGATGACAGCTGCAGCGTTGCGCTGTTCCATAGGAAAAGCAGTCCGTTAAACAACTAGGTCAAAAGAACTTAAAATACTGGATTGTACATATAATGTACAGCCTGAAAGAAGTTAAAAACAGCAACCCATTTAGCTCAGCAGTATAGGAAATGCTATTTCACAGCAAATGTCCTTTACCAGGACTGCAAGGACAACAAACTTTTACTGCTAGATTGCCCCTGTATTTTAAATGCCCTGCACGCTTGAAAAAAATCTTCCAAAAATCTTTCCTGAGCACAGACAAATAGAAAATCATGCGACGTCTTCTTCAGGTGTCTTCACTGCAAAACATTGTGTCTTTTCTTTTTGCTTTTCAGTGTGAAATTAAGCTCCTTTAATCACTTAATTACTCCTTTAAAGCCAAGGCACACTGATGCAGCTCCCTACTGTTGATTTTCTCACAAAAAAAGAGAAGAGATAAACCATAGGCATATACAGTAGCTGAATCGTTGGTCTTCTGTGAATCTTCATTCCGTATTCCACTGGCAGGGTCGTGTATTTTGTCAGAGTACAGCACTGCAAAACTGACAGGCAGTATTGAAGAAAAATATTCTCAGGCATTTCACAGGTCTTTAGCAATATGCAAAGCTCTTCAAAGAGCTAAGCAATTGTCTGGACCCCTATTTTTCTTGAAACAGAAAAGATGATAGACTGTGCAACAGAGCTGCAAAATGAAAGTCTGTTTAAGCTGACAAACAATTTATGATTGAAAATCCAGGTAGATTAAAAAGCTAGCTATGCAATACAGCTGGATGGACAATTTCAAGTCCTGCGGTGCTTCGCTTCACTATCAAAATCAGAAAGTCCAGAAAAAAGAGTGCAAGTCTAGATTAAGAAAAACATTTAAAAATACAGCACATTATGTTACTGCTTTGTAACACCTTTAACTTTCTAAAGTGTCTGATCTGAAGCACATTGCAATGTAGGACTCATTTAAGAGACCTCAAAGCTCGTAAAAAAATATAAAAATCAAGGTCAGCTTTTTAGCTCAGATTTTTTTATTATTTTACACCTGGTTTATTTACAGTGAGAATGTCCCCAGCACACAATAGCACTTCTTCTTGCACTTTGACACAGATCGAAAGACTGGCCATTTAAAACCCTGTCTTTTGGGTTCTAGTACAATATGGAGAAGGGTCTCTTGGAGGCACAGATGATCTTGGGTATGAAAGCTGACAGCATGAGATATGGTGCAGAAGTGATATACAGGAATGTCACAGCTATGGAGTCAGTGATATACGCTGGAATACTATTAGCACCAGGAAAGGTAGGTGCAATGGAAACACCACTTAGATAAGGCTCAGGGGGAGGGTGTGTACAGTTTAAGTGGTAAAGCCTTGTACCTGGAACAATCCGACAGTGCCTTTAGGAGAAAAGCTAACAATGCTTCTGAACCACTGCAATAAGAGCACAAACAGTGAATGTCAGTTATCGGTTTCTCTCTAAAATTGTCATTGGCTTTCTGCACCACTTTGAATGGCCCGGTTGAATACTGTGCACAATGAATCACAACAAGTTACTGTACATTTATTGTATTTCTCTTTTCTAAAGCATAAACTTGATGCATCAACAGTTCACATTTCTAGGCAAGGGATCAATTATAAAATGGCCCTAATTGAGTAATCAAGGCAGCAGCTAGCGAAATAGTGCATTTTCTTTTTTTTGTATAGTAAATATTGAACAAAACAGCATTTTCCATAAAAAGATCAGCTTTAGAGTTCCACCACTGAACGAATTATCTACCTACTGTATTATCAGACAGACATTATCTTGGAAATTCCATTTCCAAGGACTACAATACGATGGAAAAATGATCTATTACATGGTTAACTAGCGGAATGAAACAGCGCAAAACTCTTCTGGCAAACTGTACTCATCGAAGACGTGAAACGTATGTATCTTTGTATTAATTTTTCAAAAGACAGAATTTCAACCCATTTTGAGAAGACAAAAACTTTTCTGTTCTATCAAGCGTCAATGCACAGACCCACTGGCAATTTCACTATATAATCAGAGTCCTCCAGCCTGTTGAGATGCTGCTTCAAATTCAAATCAATAATATGAAGAGACATGTGCCAAGTGTACTATGTCAGGGTTTTTATGGAGCTTATTTATGATGTGGCTGTCTGATTCAATCATGGATGTACAGTATATACCAAGTTTAAAAATACTAGTAGCTGAAAATGCTTTAGAGAATAATACACATTTTTGCCCTTAAAGGTGGTTGTTCATTAGGTTCATAATTAACCTCACAGTATTTTTTATAAAGATCTTAGTTACTGTGCATCTTGCAGTGGCATCAGTATCAAACAGGTCTTTCTTGTAACAGCATCAGAATATTCCTGTGGCTGAAGCACAGCAGGACCTGCTAAACAACACTTTACAGCAAGTGTCACATTTCAGCAGGGGGTAAGTCATTTGCTTTGGGATCATTTTAATCATTCGGAACTGCACAACTGTAAAGCAGCTAAAAGAGAAAACATAAATTCATACGAGAAGTCAGCTGTATTCAAAGATGTGAATGGATTTATTTCTGCATTAATGGCAATGTGAGGCCAAGTTAAGAGAAACAGTGTCTGTTTGACCACTTGAAGCACTTAAGCAGGGCACATGTATACAGTATGAGCAAGCTTGGAAAGTGGATCGAGGTGGGATCATGCTCACCTCTCACACTCGGGCTCGTCAGGTGGGGGGCTTTCCTCAGCTTTCTTCCAGCCAATCAGGTACTTGCTGACAGCCCCCTGGCGTACGTAGGCCCTGGCGTCTGGTCCCACCCCTGGAGACGCAGGGCCCTGAGAGACGATGTAGACCTTCGAGGTGTCCAGGGAGGCACTGACCTTTGAACTTCGAGTCGAGGGGCTCCCTGAGTGGTGTGAGCCACTGGTCAGATGGGGAAAAAAAGGCACAGGAAGGAGGAGGGATTATCATCCAGGTGGATGCTGCACATTGGTGGTGGTGGAGGGGAGTCCCCATTACCT